GGAACCAGGAACTTCACTTGAGTGTGACGAGGCTGGAATCCCAGGCAGGCTGGTGCAGAGCTCCTGGCCCAGGGTCAAAGGCCCTGGCCCTCAGCTCACAGCCAGCCACAGAGTGCCCTGTCAGCTGTGCTCCTGAAGTCACATTGCCCAGCAGCAACAACCACCCTGAGTTCATGGCGGCTCCTGCAGGTCCCTAGATCCCAGGATCACACAAACATGGCCAGGCTGGCTGTTCTCTCCCTGTAGCTGCCGTGTCCCAAATACTAGGAAGGTGCACTTGAAGATTCAGAGATAACAACACGCTCCCAGCCCATCTCATTTGAGGTAGAAGGAGCTCTCTCTCCCCCTCTGCTGCTAGTTAGGCTGCTGGGTAAATTTTCTTTTCCCTGTGAAGTGATCTGGTGTCTATGATGCTGTGTTACAAGAAAGAGCAAGGAAAAGCCTCATCCAGCTGAATGGTGGCAGATTTAATGTTGCCAGCTGGCTCGGCTTTCTGCTTCGTACACTCTGGAGCACTGTTCTACCTATCTACCTATCCATCCATTCATCTATCATCTATCTATCCATCCGTTCATCCATCCAAACAACTACCAGCCATTCAACCAACTATCCAGCAATCCATCCATCCATCCATCCATCCTTCCATCCACTCATCCATACATCTAGTCACCATCTATCCATCCATCCACCATACATTCATACATCCATACACTCAGCTATTCATTTATCCACCCATTATCTATCTATCTATCTATCTATCTATCTATCTATCTATTGTCTACCTATCTTTCTATTTCTCCATCATCTATCTGACCAGGTAAATGAGATTACTTTAAATATAAATTTAGGACATGAGAAACAAAAGAACAAGGCCCGAGGGATTTTTAATCTAATGGATGATGACTAACAAGAGACAAAAGAATGTGCAGAACTATCTGGTGAAGAATAAAAAACCCAACAGAAAGGGCTGTAGACACCAGCATCAAGGACCCTGCCACTGGCCAAAGCTGCTTCAAAGCCTAGACTGGCTCGTTAGGACTTAATCTGAACTTAATGATCATGTCCCTCACAGATCTTCAGCTAACTAATCTACAAAAAGCAGAGTGAGTCTGAGTGATTGGGCCGCTGGCAGACTGGGTGTTATTGCTGTGAAGTCAGCCCCACCCTCCTCCTCCCTCAGCCAATTGAGGGGGAGTGCAGTCTTAATCACTACTTTTCTCTAATTGGTTGCTGTGTATTGAGATACATACCTGCCCATATCTATGACACAATAAGACCAATAAAAAGAGCACCAGCTTCCTTCCCCACCACTCTGACTGAGAGACAGCCTGTTCTCAGCCCTCCGAGGTCGTCGATCCAGCTCAAGGTCTCCGCTTCCCAGCTCAGCTCTTCCCCCTACTGCAAGGAACAGACTCTCCTGATTCCACATCTATCACTCTTGCTCCTCTGGGCAATTGCTACAACCTCACTCCTGCAGTGGGGGCGCCCAGCCAGGCTCCCTGTGCTGTGCTGCAGTTACAGAGATGGAGTCCTGAGCACCTCCGGGACTGCCTTGCATCAGGCTCCTGAGTCACGCCCCTGTGGTCACCGCTTCCACTGCTGCTCTGTTTTCTGCTCCCCAAAGGCCCTTGGTCCCTTCTCCTGTTTGCACTCAGCAGCTGCTGTGGGAGCTCCCGGGTTCTACGCTTGCTCTTTCACGGGGTTTGCAGTGCTTGGTTTTTGTCCCGTCCACACTCGAGTCCTGTCTGGGCACCAGGTAGCTCAGGTCTGTGCACACTGAGCTTGCTGCTGTTAGGCCTGACGCCCAGCCAGGCACCCTCTTTCCTACTTCACCTGCTGTTGTACTGTTCTGTTTCTTTTCTCAGTCTTTGTTCAAAGAAAATTCCTCTAAAAATGTTAGTACTGGCTTAGCTATGATATTCTTATTTTCCTCTCTAAAACCTTAGAACATTTTGATTTTTAGTATCCCTGCTTCTTATATGTTATTGATTTCCCTGACTTTAGTTCTCTCTAATCACCTTGAATAGACATTGATGCCATTTGCTTTTGTCAATGTTGTGAATTAAAAACTGAACTACTTTATGAAGTTGGGGGCTAATCTTTTTTATATTTGTATATACTTACCAATTTACTTACTATTTAAAAAAAAAAAAACAAGTCAGACCTTTCATCCTGTTTAGTTTTTCTACTTCCTAAAGTTTGTGTTTTTGAAAATTACTTTTAGGAGGCGTTAGCTTGGGTTACTTACAAACACCCTGTGAACTAGACTGAAGGCTGCCTGTGGTTGAGTCACATGTGTCTGTCTGGGCCTCTGGCTCCTCCACATCATCATCTGCATCGAAACCTATAGCTGTGTCTCCACCTCTCTCTTCTGCCTCCCGAAGTATGAAGAGCCCACTTCGGGTTCCAGCTGAGTATGGGACATCCTGCTGCATTTCCAACCTCAGAAACACCTTGGGATTTTTCTTTCCACATTCCTTGAACCACAGGGCTCTGAAAGTGGAAGCTCAAAGCCAGGAGAGAAGCCATCAGAGGCCTGCAGGGTGGCACCAACTTCTGAGCTCTGTCATCTCTGAATCTCATGTCACTTCTGGAGTCTAGGTCCTCATTTTCTTGCAGGCTCAGCCATACCTTCAGAGGGCCATAGGAAGCATGTCTAGCAGCTTTAATATGTGCCTGCCAGATAACCTTTCTGTACTCACTGCAGTCCTGGGGCCTCAGCCTCGGTCACAGTCCTCTCCCACCCATGTGACCAACTGGCGCGGGATGCTCCCGTCCTCCTATCAGCATCTTCGTCAGCACAAGCGCTGGTGCTCTGAGTAGAAGGACTTCACACAAAATGAGAATTTCCCACAGTTTTCAGGTCAACACTGAACCTATCCATTGAATTTGATTCGGTCTCGCCCAACTCAGTCTGCAGGAGAGTGAGTGTCTGGTCATAGAGGTGGTTCAGGGATGAGAGGCAGAATCAGGGTAACAGGGAAGAGAGGATTGCCATCCTACTCTTCTCAGCAACTGCAGACATCCAGGCACAGCAGAGAAACCCAAGCGCAGGCTCCCAGGGCCAGCACAGTGCAGGAAGATGTGATGGCACAAAACAAACAACGAGAAAGTCCTGAAGGTCTTGCCTGTGAGCTGCACAGTTGTACAAAGTAGAATAGAGACCGTAGCCCTAAATTCCTAGAGTCGCAGCTTGTGCTGGCCAGCCCCCAGGCACACTGTGACCTGGGGCTTTGTCTCTGAGTGACATCCTAGAGAACACAGCCCACCATGCTCCAAGCTTCTGAAAACTCACCAGCAAACCCCACTCTACACTTACAGCCCTGTTCACCTGGCCAAGTTTCACATCCTCAGAGGAAAACACATCCTCTTCTTTGGCAAATAGTTACATGTAGGATTAAGTGTTCACTTCTCAGTGTTAATTTTCTTCTGTAGTTTATATAGTATTAAAATAACTGAAAATATGTACATAGCATAAATTCCTATATAGGAATATTCATAGTAAATACAGCATAATTTTATTATAACAACTAGTACTATTCAGCATTAACATAATTAGTTTTTGGTGGTCCTGGAAATTGAACCCAGGGTCTTCTCATTGAGCCACACCCTCAGACTGTTTTTACTTTTTATTTTGAGACAGGGTCTTGCTACGTTACTAACTTCCTAAGCTGAGAATGAACTGCGGACCCTCTTTCTTCAGCCTCCTGGATGTTGGGGTTATAGGTGGGTGCCAGCATACTCATTTTAGCATTAATATCACCTAAAAATAAAAATTTAGAAGAGGATGTCAAGGAGACCATGCATGAGTCTCACTATAAGTTTTAAAATCAAGGTAAGCATTTATTACTTCTCTCTCCCAAATTGTTATTGCATATTCATCAGGCAAAGAAAAGCTACTCAGTAATGAAGCTTACACAAAGGCATACAGATAT